GCAATTCAGGGATAGCCAACAATGAAGGTACCCCCTTCACCCTCACCGCTAAGGACTCATGATGGGGCACCTGGGTAGAAAGAGGCATCTGGCAAATCAAGCATATCTGGGATGACACCAAGGAAGGAATGCCAGAACACTAGACAACTAAGGGATAAGCTCAAAGGCTGCCACAACCTTACTCAAAACCTCCAACAGATAACAAATGCCATCTCCCCGAAGTGGGTGGCAGCTGTCAAGACAGACAAACAATGGTCTGCAGGAGACTGGGCAGTAATGATGCACACAAACCTCACGAACACGCACTAGCCTTCATAAAGAAAGAAGAAGGTCGCAACGACTGGATCACTTTTTCCATGCACAAACTAGAAGAACCAGGAACCGATTACAGCAAAGTCAACAAGGACCAATAGCACAAGTTACAGTCAAGGAACACAACCTCCGAGAAATCAGGCCCAAACTGCCATAGAAGACCTAGAAATAGACCCAACAGAATGGGCGTGGAACCGGAAGAAAAGGACCTCAGGAATCAACATGAGCATTAACCTTCTCAACTACACCACCAGACTATGCTACAAACTGAGATGCAGATCAGCAGCTCCCGAACCCGTCATAGCTGAGCGTTGGAGGAAACATCTCGAAGTAGATCTGGAGACATTAAAAACGATACCATGGAACCAAATAACAACCATACACCCTCCCAAAGTCAAAAGCCTACAATGGCTAATTCTATACCTAGCAGTCAGAAGAAGAACGGAAGATAGAAGCGCCCTAAAAGAACTATGTGCTAACTGCGTAGAAGGACAAATAGAGAACCTGTTCCACTGCTTCCTCCTGTGCCCCAAGATTAAACCCATAGGGAACAAAATATCCAACATTTAGAACTCAATAACCAATACGGACTTCACAACAAACCCTTTCCTTATTCTACTGGGATTCACGACTCCCAAAGACTGCCCCCCCCCTACAAAATAACCTCTTCCAAATCCTACGGAAAGCAGCACTTTGGTCCATCTGGAGGAAAAGATGCCAGAAAACAATAGACAAACAACCAATGCACACCCAGGAAGCATGGAGTATTCTCAAACAACAAGTAGAAACGGGATACTGGGTTTTATGGCGTAAAGTCAAGAGAAAAATGCATACTTGCGGTGCATTCCATGCGCGGAGTTGCCGCACGTGCGGCGCAGAGCGCACGCGTGTGCACGCGCGCGCACATGATGCGGCACATTAAAAAAACATAAAAAATAATAATAATAATTGAAAAGACAGTATGTGGTGGCCAAACATTCCCCTCGCTTCTGAAAATAAAAAAGCAAGTGGGAGAAAAGTCGGGCCACGCCATACCCGACAACTGTGGGCACATGTCTATGCATGTGAGTACTCATGTCCTAATTGTGTCCAGCCTCTTTTTCGAAGGATCCCTATACCGTATTAGCTAGGACCCCACGTGAAGCAGAGGTGCACTTCACACTCTTGCTTCATGAGTGTGGGCAAAGAATATATAGTTTGGATTCGAATTCAGGTCTGTGCATCTCTCGGTTATGGGTCACTATTTCTCTTTACTTCTCGTTTTTCTTTTCTTTTCTCGTTTTTCTTTTCTTAGGAATACGTGCAGTGGCCAAGGGCCTCTACTCACCAAATGCACAAAAGTCAAAACATATCGCGGCGTATTATTTCACGTTCTGCAGAAGAATCATTCTAATTTTGCACATTTCGTAAGTAGTGCATCCAAGCCCTAAGAGTCACGTGCAGAGACCGACAGGACCTAGCTACGTGAGTAACCCATAAGTGCTGAAACACGACCTGAATTTGAATCCTGAGTATATATTCGGCCAGCTCGTGCTCTACATCATATTTACTGCCTGCCTCGATTTTGGTGGAGGGTCTGCGCTACGCGCGAGGACCCTTCAGATCGCCCGCATGGACCGTCTGAGGCGTGTTAAGGGGATCCGTTGCTCTCTCTCTCTCTCTCTCTCTCTCTCTCTCTCTCTCTCTCTCTCTCTCTCTCTCTCTCTCTCTCTCTCTCTCTC